CATGGACCCACAACACAAGGAGAGAGAGAGATTCCTGCTCAGAAAATGTCTCACTGTGGTTTAAATTTTCATTTCTTTTTTAAAAACCTGTTATTTGATCTGTATTGAAGTCCCTCCCGTAGGAAAGTTATTAACTCTTACATTCTATAATGGAGAGATGAAAAAGATAACTTGAAACTTTTCAGGTTTTCTCATATTTCTACAGAAGTTGTTTTAGAATAGGAGACATTCATAATTTCCTAATTGTCATATTGGCCAAGTATATTAATTAATTTTTCCAAGACAAATAGAATAGCATAATCAGTTCATTTTCCACCATGCTCCCACACAAAATTTATGTTCTGACACATACAGTTTGAAATAATGTATTATTGCCATATAACAAAAAAGCTTATTGAATTTTATTGGTCCACTTAATTTTAATAGGTGTTTTATCTGTCATTATAAGACATACTAATTTGTTATATGCTTTTGATAAACATTGCAGCTTTATTTTATACTGAAGTAGATGACTACTTTAGCCAGTGTACACGCAATTTTATACTATAGACAACAGATGTAGCTGTGTCTATTTTTGAAAATGCCACTCTGATACTCCAGAGACTGCTTTCTTCCCTCTTGTTTTTCTCTGTCTACTCCTAAGTGAGGTGCATTGGCAGGAAGATATTAATGCAAAAGCTTTTTTGGCACAAATGTTTACAGATGTAAATTTATGTTTATCTGGAGGTGTACACCTGGTGGGCATAATCTCAATGCCAGTTTTAAGTAGTGGTGACCAGATTAGTTATTAGGCCCACAGGTAGAAAGAAGAAAGTGTAGAAACTAACACGTGACTTGTTTGAATAAATGAGGCCAGTGTGAGTTGCTGATTAGCAAAACTTTAAAACTGAAAAGAATGGGAAATTGGAATGAAGCAATACTTGAGGGAACTGATCCAAAGAAGAGAAAAGTTTATGCAGCGATATTTTGATAACTGGTTAGAACCTATGGAAATCACTGAATTGGTGTTCAATGGCATTAGGTGAGCAGGTGCTGATCCATGGACTGTAGAAGAGTGGCTTTTACTTTTTTCAGGTAAGATAGCTAAGGGAAATAATTTAAAAAAGTAAAAAGTCCAGAAGATTGACAAGAGCCCCATTAATGGTAAAACAACTTACAACAAGTGCTCGTGAGGCAAATATGTAGTACAAAAAGAACCAAAGTCACGGTATTCAAAGTATTTACCTGTAGTTTTTTAAAACGATATTCAGAAATATTTCTGATTCTGATACCTTTGGTGGTATCTGAGTGTTCAGACAGACTGCAGTTCTGTTTGTTATTCTGAAATGGTACAAAATCTATTTTGGAGGAAAAATTGACCTGAAGAGACCTGAGGCTATTTATATTTATTTATCTCATTTAATTTGATCATGGGGTGTCATTCCAGAACTGCTGGGAATGTAATTATAATAAAATGTTATATATTTCCTAAATACATATTTTCTAAATTTTGAAGAATTTTGCATTCAGAAATAATTCCAACCCAAGAGACTGTGAATTTGTACTTTAAAATAATGCTTTGTGGATCAATTATAGCAGAATTAATTTATTCCCTAGAAACATAGTTTCTGATAATTCAGAGAATAACCCAGTGTTAAACAGTTTTCATATTTGTCTTAAAATGCTCCCTTCATTTCATTCAGGTTTTGTTACATGGTGATTATGGAGCTTGCTTAAGGTAGACATAAATCTAGAATAAAGTTTTAGTGTTTACAACTGAGTTGTAACTCAGTGGTAAATTGCTTATCTAGCATGTGTGAGGTCCTGGTTCAATCCCAAAAAGCACACCAAGGGACAAAAAAAAAAAAAAAAAAAAAATAGTGTTTGGGAAGTTTTAGAGAATGTAGGCTCTTTCTTATTCAACAGCTTTTCTGTATAGGATGGTGGGTAAGAAGAGATTTAAAAAAAATGGGGACAGTCTTTCATGAATTCAGTGGAAAAGAGAAGAAAGGGCAACAGAATTAGGAAGGAAATTTACACATCTAAAAATTATAGTACTGTAATACATGCATTAAATATTTGGACGTGATAAGAGACTGTGGGGCCAGTATGGTGTTTAGTGAATAGGTCCTGTTGTGAGTTTCTAATCTTGATTCACATTTACTAGCTATGTGACCTTGAGCAAGACTCTTAACTTTTCTGAGAATTTTGTCTCTAAAATTGAGAGTATAATATCTTATTTTGGGTTTTAAAGTTATTTTCTTATATTCAACTGCTACCATACAAGTAAATGCCATGAAGTTAATAATAAGGAAAATTCTGATTCTAGTTAAGGAAGAAAGAGAAAATTAAATCCCAATATCTAAGTTCAACTTCAGATTAAAGGTAAAAATTATGAAAATATATAATATTCTTTTAAACTTCTTTCATTAAAAAATAGCTGGAATAGGGCTGGGGATGTGGCTCAAGCGGTAGCGCGCTCGCCTGGCATGCGTGCGGCCTGGGTTTGATCCTCAGCACCACATACCAACAAAGATGTTGTGTCCGCCGAGAACTAAAAAATAAATATTAAAAAAAAAATTCTCTCTCTTTCTCTCTCTTCTCTCACACTCTCTTTAAAAAAAATATATATATATATAAAAAATAGCTGGAATAGCTGGGCACGGTGGTGCATGCCTGTAATCCCAGCGGCTCAGGAGGCTGAAGTAGGAGGATCATGAATTCAAAGCCAGCCTCAGCAGAAGTTAGGCACTAAGCAACTCAGTGACACCTGTCTCTAAATAAAATACAAAATAGGGCTGGGGATGTAGCTCAGTGATCAAGTGCCCCTGAGTTCAATCTCTGGTAACCCCCACCTCCACCCTGTCAATCAAATAGTTGGAATAGTTGCTATAGATATGTGCTAATGAAAAAATTGTAGGATCAAGTATAACACCTCAAATTTTATAGTGGATTTAGTGTTTAAGTTCTTATTGCTTTTATATTATCTTTAAGAAAACCTGTTATATAAAAAAATACATCATGGGTCTGGGGATGTGGCTCAAGCAGTAGCGCGCTCGCCTGGCATGCGTGCGGCCCGGGTTCGATCCTCAGCACCACATACAAATGAAGATGTTGTGTCTGCCGAAAACTA